ACATATATATGTATGATATGATATGACAATGTATTATGCGAAGCCCTGTGTCCGCAACCGTCCTTCGATATAAGTAAACATATTGTATCCAGGCCACCGACATTGATTAGTTCGAAAACAAAACACATCACCGATCGGCTTTGCATTTGCAAGTTCCTCTTGACAACTTACAGTGTTGCACCGAAGCCGCGCAAAAAATGGCCTGCCCGGCAGCTGGGGTGTCCGAAAACAGCGACTGCTCCACCTCCAGGCTCAATGCTTGGAACCCGACTCTCCAACCGAAACTCCAAGATCTGAAAACCCTTGCCTTCAACTCCACGACAAGCACGAAATAAAACAAAACTCGTAAACCTAAGCAAAACAAGCGATGATTCACTCCTTGGGGTTTGCAGCTTCTTGTGTAGAGTTTGGGGCTGGGCTGACTCCTTAGCTGAATTACTTTTCCCTAGTGCATCCATGAAGCGATGCTTACATATGCGGGAATGCAATCTCATGCTGCACCACGATACGTCTATACAGTATGTGCCAGGCCTCACATGCTTTCTGCATTCACGCTTGGATATATCTTATCCCGTCTGGCATAGGTTACAGTGCTGGAAAGTCTTCACACTCGTGCTTATGAGAATGGACGACGTGTTTCTGCAACACACATCTCTGCGAAATCACATGCACGAAATCACAAGGTCACAAAATCACCGCAAACAAGCGGAACTCTGACGTCGGTTTCTTGCTGCTGCAACACATGGGTGGCTGGGCAATCAGCATACGATCCCGTGCTTCTAAAACACGGACATATGTGTGCATGCGCAAAGACTCATCACGGGTTCTTTGCTTCTGACACGTGAGGGGGCCTGCACCCAAGTCCCAACAGCACCAGCTTCTGCAGTAGACATGTCGGTGTATACTAGTACACAAGCAAACATCACAAAAATCACGAGCCCGAGCCGTGATCATGGATTCCGTGTTTCTGAAACACACACCCATGTGAAAACACATCCACCAAAAGTCACAAGCACCCAAGTGGAACCGTGACTTCAATTTCCTTACTTCTGCAACACGTGTGTGGCTGTGTACCTGTGCAACGGGAACACAATCACCTGTGTCTGTGTTTGCGCGACCACTGACAACGGGCTCTGGGGATGCTGTGCTTCTGCAACACACATAAACATATCCATGAAGTGACGTGCACCCAAGTCACAGTTCACCACAACACCACCTTCCGCAATGCACATGTCTGTGTATCCCGCAACACACATCTGGGTGAAATCATGTAAACGATAATCAAACAAAGCACCTCATGCAGAATCCCCCTCAGGTTCCCTTCTTCTACAACAAACGGGTGGTTGCATGCACCAACGAACCGGAACTGTGATACTCTGTATCTTCTACACACTGTGCGAGATCAAACACACGAAAAGCACGCAAGCACCGCAACCGCAAACGTGATTCCGGTCTCCTTAGGTCCTTGTTTCTGCACGGGTGGCTATGCGCTTGTGCATTAAAAACACAACCATCAAAACAACCGGAAAGCGTGACCACGGATTTCTGGCTTCTGCAACACGCATTTGCGTGTGCGCACAATAGGGTTTAGGGTTCTTTGCACACGTGTGTGAAATGACATGCACCCTAAATCACAAGAGCACCACTTCGTCAACACATATGTTCCAACGGACACATGACCACCGATTCTGTGTTTCTGCAACACACACCTGCGTGACATCTCATGAACGGATATCAAAAAGGCAACACCTTGACCTCAGTTTCCTTGCTGCTGCAAAACATGGGAGGCTGCTGTGGGCCAGCACACTCGAATACGATCACTGCAGCCGGAAGCGTGACCAAGGATTCTATGCTGTTGCAACACACGTGTGCACGGCCGATCCCTGAGCCCGGGGTCTTTGCTTCTGCTACACAATGCTGTACACTTGCGTTCATAGTGACATGCACCCACGCCGCAGCAGCACACGATCTGCAATGCACATGTCTAATCAGGTCGGGGATCCCGTATTTCTGCAATACACATCTATGAATATGCCACAACCGGAAGCGTCACCACGGATTCCTTGCTTCACATGTGAGGGTTCCAGGCTTCTACAACACACGTTGTGTTTGCACAATCACTGACCGCGGGTTCCTTGCTTCTGCCGCACGCATGTGTCTGAAGCGGCATTGACATGCACCCAAGTCACAACAGCCCCACTTTCCACAAATACACATGTCTGCATGAACAAACACAGCTGGTACGGTGACCACCGATTTCTCGTTTCTGCAATATTTTTCAGAGTGTGCACCGCAAACGACTCCGTGACCTGAGTTCCTTGCTTCTCCAGCACACGAATGACTGTGTCTATGACTATGCAATCAAAACACAGCCGCCAAACCAACAAAGCATGACCCATGTGTGAGCAACGACATGCACCGAAGCTCCCAAAGACACCACCTTCTGCAACACACATCTGCGTCTGTGTATACACACACATACATATATATATTATGTATACACAGGGATACACAAATATATATATATATATATACAAAACTCACATCGCAAAAAAGTTTGAAATCGAACCCTTTCAGAGAACACTACATACGATGACATACGTAATATGATATGCACTGATATTGTGTGATCTGTCATGATTTCAGATAATATCACAGCATAAGGCATGATGTGATCATGACAAGACTTTCCTATGATATGATATGATGTTGTGGCTAGTTAACTTGATGTACCACGCGTTGGTTATTGTGTATATATATATATTCACACACATACGGTCTTGCATATGTATACTTGTAACATGAACACACCATGTTCTTGGAATAAAGTAGATACAGAATATGTAAGTCTACCACAGAAAGAAACGGTCGACATAAAAACTTCCTTTTTGGTATACAAACAAAGGTTCCAAGCAGCAAAAGACCAGAGGACAAGAGAAACGCAAGACCTACCAAACCGAAGAAAGAAGACATGGTTGTCACCCTTTGGCATTCGTGCAAGGCTAATGCAAGCCGCTTTCACAGAACAGTCTGAGTTCATATCGTAGGCCTCCACCCCAAAGCCTAAATCGCAACAGCAGGCCAGCCTTCTGCAAGGTCTTGTCCACTTGCCGGGTTAGCTTCTCGAAAAATCCACGCGAGCTTGCCTGCCCAGAAGGGAAATGAATCATCGGTGAGCTGTATTGTTTGGATGCCCCAGAATCGGAGTTGGCTGAAAGCACTCCACAGGCTCGCCAGGAGGACAACCGACGACCAATCTCAGTCGACCGACATCCACGAAATTCCCACGAATCAAAACCTGAAGAAACTTCAGCAACAGCACAAAACGAGCTGGCCTCCGGCTTCTTCGATGGCGCACTCTTGCTGCCTTCTCGCTGTGGAGTCGCCTAGCCCACTTCGACAGCCGGCATCGGGGCGTGACGTGGTCTCACAGCCTTATTTTGCGGGGATAAGGGGTCTCTTTGCAGCACCTGTGAACCCCAGCACGAAGAGAATATCATTTGCAGGCACGAACATCCTTCCGGCCCCCTACCGTGCCTGCAAGTTGTCAATGTAGAGGGCCTCAGCGGCAAAGCCAAAGCTTCAGCTCGCGTCTCGGGCCACCTGCCTACGGATAGGTTAGGTTGTCCCCTGGGCCAAAAGATCCCTATACGGACCCGGACCGTCGGCGATGCAGCAGCGCATGCCGCAGAGGTCTCCCGAGAGATGACGACCTGGCGAGCGCCGCGGGCTGCGAGAGTTCTTGACCCCAGAACTGTGCACCGCAGAAGAGCTCGCAACCAGCCATGGTCTGTGCGAATTCGAGGCGAAAGCGATTGCCGAGTGGCCGAGGCTCCGCAGCTGTAGCACTGGAAGCGGTCCAGGCCGAACGGTACCTAGCTCCGATTCCGGCCCGAGCACAAGATGGACATCAGGATCCATGCTCTTCGCTTTCACCCTCCCTGCAAGGTACCCAAAGTCCCAAAAAATCCGGAAGTCTCGACTCGAAAGCCCAGCTCTCAGAGCACCGAGTTCACGGATCCGCACCGGCCACAACTCACCAGCTCCGTCGGCTCTTTCCTCGCCAGCCAGGGGATTGGGACGTTGGGAAAAGGAGGCCCTCAAAGGCCCTCAACTGAGGGCTGCACCTCTCCGTCTCCGCCATCGCGGGCGAGGAGAGAGCTCGGCGCTGCAGGCCAGAAAGGGTTTTTGGAGTGGCTAAGTTGCGCTTGATCTTGCTTGCTTCGGGGTCGGGGCTTGGGGATCAGGCGGTGGGGTGTGTCCATGTCTGAGTCTGGGGACGGGCACATGTCTTGGGCTTGTCAAGCTCCAAGCGTCTTGAGGTCAAAAACGCGTCCGGCACCTTCGGCTCGCTTACAGGTAGCGTCTCCCCCAATCTGCATGCCCCCCTTCGCAGGCTGTGCTAGGCTTTAGGGCTCCAGTGCTCGATGTTCGAATCATCTCTACCTTAGCAAAAAGAGCGGGTCGACTTACTCGGAATCAGAAGCCGACTGTGGCAGCGAGGCAGTCCTGCCGAAGCTCGGGATTCGACCTGGCAGTGCTCGCTGGGCCTGTCGTCAGGACTTTTCACCCCGCTTCCGACGGTTGGAGTCCAGTTGCACGTGTCCCCGCGGCCACGCTCGCAGTCGCGAAACGTGCGGGAGCCGCTCAAAGACTCGCTGGTGCCACGTGCGATGCCTGGGGTGTCTTTGGCGATGAAGCACCTTGCTCCCTCTTTCTGATCATGTGCTGGGAGCCCCCGGCCTTCGCCTTTGAGGCTTTGGGCCCCCCCCACTTGGCCAAACGCACGGGTCTTCTTGGCAAAAGCCGCTACCACGTCCGTAGCAATGGCGCTTCTGGCCAGCTCAGTCGGACAGGTTCGCAGCGACCCCGTTTCCTAGCGTACAGTACTGTGCACAGACCCCAATCCCAGCAATTCCCACGACCTCTAGTCCCCACCTACATCCCCCGACGTTCAGCACTCCGTGCGAAAGCCGTGTTCCGCAAGGTCACACTGCAGTCTACAGCTTCAGGGGTCCAGCATATCCTGGGCACCGGGGGTCGTCCACGGTATTGTGGCAGACCTCGGTGAAGGCCCCAAGCTCCCCACCCCCCCACTCCGAGGCATCAGAAAAACCCACGAGGGCGCACCTCCTGCTTGCCTTCGGCACGGACATTCGTCGGCTTCGCGGCCGAGCGCGTCGCGTTGTCCTGCCATATGGCGCACAGGCTCGGCCCCAGTCGACCCCGCTTGGAAGCGTCCTGGAGCAAGCTCCACTCCCAAATCGTGCAGTCCTTTTCCAGGAAACCTCGGAGGCGAAGGCTCGGAGCGGGTCAAAGCGGGTGAACCCGCTTCCGCATGCATCCGTGCAGCACTCGTTTGTCATCTTGCCATCCTTGTTCCAGGTCACGGCAACGAAGCCCGCGGGCTTGTCTCCACAGCAGCCTCGGAGGATGCCAGAAAACCCAAACAGACCCATGTTTTTGAGACACAAACCAACAACAGGGCTTGTCGGAGGGAGGGCTCGCAGCTGACGGAAAGCCGTGAGACCTTCAAACTTGTGCACGAGCCACGACGTTTGAAATCGGTGTCAAGATGCTCAGCTTGATCCACGCCTACGTTGCCTATGTCAGGCTTCAGGCACCGCCCGACCGTCCCAAGCAAACAAACTATCCCCACGAGAGCAACGAAAGACCACACAGGGTTTTTGGGTCGTTCGCCTCGAGCTGCAAACCACCTGCAAGTGAGTGGGCCGTTGATGCGCTCAGCCTGCCCGAGCTGCCACCAAGCTTCCACCCGCACCGCCAGTGAGGATGTCGGTGCAGAGATTGGGATCCTGCTCGTCGGCGTGCCGGTCCTGCCAGTCGCTTGCAGGATGAGTCCGGGGGTGCTTGCGACACTGAAGACTTTGGCAGGGGTTTCTGTCATGCGGGATGAGGCGTCATCATATGGAAGGAGCCACGACAACCCAAGAAACCTTGAAATGCAGCCCCTCAACAGCCCACCAAGGGCCAGACACACTGCTGGATGTGCGTGTGGCCGTAGAAGTTCAGCACGCGCTTCTGCGCAGCCTCAGAATGTCTTGCATAAAGGTGGCCTTTCAAGATCTTTTGCCCAGTGCGCGAGGTGCACCTGCCGCAACCAATGCCAGCCAGGTGTCTTGCTCTTGATGCATCCCCTGCAAAAACTTGTGTCGGAGGTTGATTCCTGACAGGGAACAAGCTCTCGACCACAGAGCGAGCCCCTCGGAAGCCCGGACGCGTCTTGGCAGAATGCTTGTTTTGCCAGACCACTCCCGGTGCCTTCTTGCGCCCAGTCGGGGTAATGGCTAATGAGGGCATAGTTGGTCCAGGCCGCCGCCTCCACTGGCGGAGCACAGAGGAAGCTTTACGGCCCGAGAGGGGCTGGGCATGCTGGGCGGATCTGAAAGTCTGCGATTCAGAAGCAGTTCGTCAGTTCCTCAGATCCTCATTCCAACACGGACGGATGAGAAACAAAAAGAGTCCAAGCTTCGGCAGAAACATGCGCCCGTCGGTGGCGACACTGAGGCCGGGCCTTGGCCCGTTCGTCGAGGATCTGAGCCCAGGCGCTTTGGGGGCTTAGGGGTGCCTTGGCCCGTTCTTGCTTTGGAGCGTTTGGAGGATTGAGGCTCTGTGCTCTAGGTACTATATAGGTGCTCTGCACAGTATCGCCACTGCGCACTGATCCAGCTCCAGAAGCCGACCCCAGACTGGACTCCCCAGCCGAAGCCTTGTTGGAGGCGTCACGGAGCCGCGCCAGGCTGTCCTTCCAACCGCGGAAACGAAAGAAGCACAAAGCGAAGCACAGCACAGCTCCAAGAAAGGCTGCAAGGCAGCGGCCGCGGCCGCGGCGGCTCCCGGATCAGAGAAGATCGGACCGCGACAAACCGATAAGTGCCCCGCAAGCGAGGCGGTTTGTCTCTTGCTTGCTTTTTGGACAGCGCAGGCAGAGTCTGGACTTCTGAAAACTTCTCTGCCAACGGCCGTACTCCAGAGCTACAGACAGCCCCGAATGCCTCCACACGCTCTACGCCGCCACACGACTTGGCCACACCGCGCCCGCCGCCCGAGGGACCTCTGGCGAGCTTTGAAAGCACTTGGAGCCTGGGACTTTAACGTGGGCTGCGTTTCCTCTTTGCCTTCGACTGCGGGGACTTGAGATGCTGCTTGTCGGCTCCAGGTAGGCTCAGACCAGCGGCATGGCTTTAAACTTTAGGCTCAACGTCACCGGTCTTGCGGACCTCTGGCTTCAGGTCACGGCGGCGCATGGCACGACAGGGCACTGTCTCACCGCTTCCCAATTGGGACAGGCTGCCGTAGCCGTTGCCGCCGATCCCATGGCGATCGTACCAGTTGTAGTCCAGGCCTGGCGGCAGCAACGCAGGGCCACAACTCAGGACCGCAACGCAGGACTGCATTCCAAGCGCTCCGAGAGCTCCAGAGCCATCTCAAGGGCATCTTAGAGCGCGCGGAAAAAAGAGTCACGACTAGCCTCAGCGCCTCTCACAAAAAGGACCTCAAGAGCTTGAGCGTGGATAGACTTCTGGCGCCCATGTGAAATCAACCCACAAGCGTGATGGCTGCCTATCAACTCGAAGTCCAGCTCTGGGATCGTGTAGAAGAAGGTGAAGTCAGGGATGTGAAAGTTCCTCCATGCTCAGTGCTCGGTAAAAGACTGGCTAGGCTGAGTTGTACGGAGACCTTTGCCACCCCTCAGATGCGGATGAGCAGCAATGAACGTGCTTCTCAAGCTACAGAAAAACTGCGGTCCTGCGCAAGTCTCCGTCCACACCGCCCTTGTCGGCATTCAGCTGGTTGCAAGCATACCTTACACCGGATTCCTAGAATCTCAATACTATAGTCCTATGCCGAGTCTGCCGTTCCGGATGTTCTAGTTTTAAAGCTACCTCCCGGCATGAAACAAAGGAGGACCTGCCCAAGGGGGTTGTTCTGCTCCCGCGCCCGACATCCCTGAGCCCAAAATTGCCAAGGCGGTCGGCGACTGGTTGGCGATGGAGTACGGCTTGGCACCGCCACAACCAGCAGCCGTGGCGTCAGCAGCGGTGCAGCGGGCCCTGGCAGGGCACCAGCTCGCGAGCTAGCGTGTCTCAGGGCCTTGTTGCGATTTGGGCTGTCCCGGCCTCTCATGGAAGAAAGGGCAGAGGCAGTCTGGGTCGTCGTTGCCAAAGTCGTGGTTGCCGAGGATCACGAACCAGGGGTAATCCGCGAGCTCCTGGTACACCGACTTCCACCTGGGGAGCTTCGAGAACACAAGGCCTCCAGCCAGGGCCTCCCAAACGAAAGCGCCCTCGGGCCCTTGGCCCTCCCTCCCTGGGGCCCCGCACGTGGCATCGAAGCGGCCCGGGCTCGCCCCGGTCCTCGGAGGAAACGGCGGAGGAGAGAAAAGAGAGGGGGACGAACGTCCGCCTTTTAAACGAGAGCGAAGGAAAGCAGGGGGCGGAGGAGGAGCGGCGGGACCCGAAACTTTTCAGCAAAGCGGATCAGAACCGTCCGTGAAGATTCTGCTCATCCGTAAGAGTTGCCGTCCTACAACTCTCCAATAGCGACAGAGAGCCTGCGTTTACACTCACGGATCTCCGTTCCCAGGAGAATTTGTGCTCTGTTTCTGGATGTTCTTGTTGATGCTTGAAAGCTCCCCAAATCCTTTTTTGCAAGTTCCATGTGCAGCACAGGTGCCAATAGAAGTTGTCACCCACCAGCAGGATGAAGAGCAGCGTGGACCTCTTTCAAGCTCTTGGATGTCACTGTGATGGCTTCAGGCCGGGGATCTTAGGGCAGCGGTTCAATCAGTCCTTCTAAATTGCATGGTTCCTCTTGCGCCTCCTATTCCGCCTCCTCATGCTGCAAGGAGACTTTCGTGCTGTAGTTGGCTCAATCACTATCACGTACTACTACTACTACTACTA